GGAAACATAAATGCATATTACTGAGTGAAAGAAGACAATCTGAAAAGCCTAAATATCTATAATACCAACGATATAACTTTCCAGAAAAGGCAAAGCTACACAAACAGTAAAAAGATTAGTGATTGACAGGGATTAGAGGCAAGGAAGGATTGAATAGGCAGAGGACGAGGATTTTGGAGACAGTGAGAACACTCCATATGATGGTATAATAGTAAATACATACCATTATACATTTATTCAAGCCCATAAAATGTACAACAACAGGAGTAAACCCTAATGTAAACTGTGGACTTTAGATTATGAAGTATCAATGTAGATTCAACAATTGCAATAAATGTAAAACTCTGGTGGGGGCTGTTGATAATGGTGGAGGCCATGCATGTATGGGGTCAAAGGATATATGGGAAATCTCTGTACCTTCCTCTTAACTTGTCTGTGAACCTAAAACTGTTCTAAAAAGCAAATCTATTAAAAAAAATTATGGCAACAACATACACACATCAATCCCAAATTATAGTACATTAGAGAAAATGTATGTTAATGCTTGTTGCAGGGTTAAAAGGTTTTATGAGAAACCTCTAAATATACCATTTCTTCTCATACCTGCTTGAAAAGTACACTACAATTGCATGGTGTTTTTAAAAAGTTATATCCAGCTAATCTGTATGAATGCCAATTTTCTCCATATTGTGAAGCTAACACAAATAAATAAAAATTTACGTGCTGAATTAAATGTTTGTGGTTATCAAAGAAGCTTCAGTTAGGATATTTAAATGCATTTTATGAAGTAAATTTTAGGAAATGTATTTTACCAAAGCATGATTTTTTCCTCTTTTGTAAACTGGGATTTTAGATACAGCTTTACTTGATAAGAAGAAATCCTGCTTCACATGAAGAGCAATGAGTTGTTAAAGCACTGTAATATAAAATATTTTTCTTCTTTTTTTTTTTTAGACAGTCTCTCTCTCTGTTGCTCAGGCTGGAGTGCAGTAGCACGATCTCAGTTCACTGCAGCCTCCATCCCGGGTTCAAGCAATTCTCCCACCTCAGCCTCCAGAGTACCTGGGATTACAGTGGCCTGCCATGACGCCTGACTATTTTTTGCATTTTTAGTAGAGAAGGGGTTTCACCATGTTGGCCAGGCTGGTCTCAATCTCCTGACCTCAGATGATCTACCTGTCTCAGCCTCCCAAAGTGCTGGGATTACAGGCGTGAGCCACCGTGCCCGGCCTAAAATATTTTTCTTTAAAAAATGTTTCTATTCAGTTAATCAGTTCCATAACAAGATTTATAATCTATTCCTGCACAATCAGGAATGCTTCTAGAGGCAGACTATATTTTGAAAGCTAAGGAGACTTTCTGATGCCTGAAGATGACTTTATTCACTGTTTTATTCTTTTAATAAATCTATGTTTGAAAGATGCTAATCTCAATATAAGTCACATAAAATATGAAGCTTTTAATTCTAGTTGATTCGATTTTGTTATTCACATTTCCCTATAGGCATACGTTTAATAACTTTTCAATTTTCTGTAATGCCTAACACTTGGAAAGATTTAAGAGTTCAATAGTTTTTGACTATTTGCATGGCAGATTACCAAAGGAAATACTGCTATGGGAAAACAAACTTTTTTCCCTGACATTTGAGGTTCTTAGTTGCTGGACATTTTTTAATCAAACGAGACACTGACTAGAACATTACAGTCACTTTACCCTTAATGGATGGTCTCAGATACAGATTTGGATATTCAAGAATATAAGGAAACAAAAAACCCAGCTTTCTGCTTTTAGGGGTAAGAGTACTCAGTTGAACTGGCTAGCATACCAAGAAATCTGCTCACCTGATATAGGTTGTATGCCACAGGCAGTTATAGTAGATGGTGATGGTAGCCTTACAAGCATTTGATTTGAAAACCATCATGATTTTAGAATTGCCTTCAGAACATTTAATGTCATGTGGTTGAAGTTTTTATGCAGTATCTCTTATGATTCCAGCCAAACCCTAACCTTCTCAGAGGCAGGGATCATCCTTTACAAACCTCAAATGACAAAAAGTGTCTTGCATGTGGCGAGTAAGCATTGGACGATGCTTGTTTATATGACTGATCTAAACCTGTACACTTAACAAAGAGATCTTCCTAAGCTAGAAGTCTTGGGCATGGCCTAAAAGTTAGCTAGCTTTGGGCAGTCTGGCATCTATTCGAGCTAGTTATAGCTCTAACAAAATGTGAGCTTGCTTCTGTGACTTTTTCAAAAAATCTTGCTAGGTAATACCTAAGTCACTTCAAAATCACAGTCTGAATGACAGGCAGTCTTTTCTGAAACTCACATTCTATTTCCTCGTTCGGTTCTCTTCATGCTACCCTAGTAAAGTGTCTGTCACTTCCTCTTAAAAAGCAGTGAGAGAGAGGGGTGTGGAATTCATTTCAGGAGCAGCTGTCTTCTCTTCAACTCTTAACCCTGCTCTCCAGGGTAGAGGAAGTAAAGAATTTAATTAGTCTGGGTTGAACCAGACTATGTGAACAAAAAATTTTAGAGAGAAAAGGAAAGAACCATCCTGATGACACCACCAAAATAATCATCTGTTTCTTGGTCTGTGAACTGTGGTTGGCACTATCGACTTTCAGGTATCTTGGAAGCTTCACCTGTGGTACCTTGTTCTCCTTCCTTCAGGAAAGATGCACCACAAGTGGGGTGGGCGAACAGAGATGCCTCCTATCTTCCTTGGGCTCCTGAGGAAACAGACTCTAGGATGCTGAGATGTGTCTGCAGGAGGTTTAATGGCATATATTCTTAGGAACTACTATGAGGGAGCAAGGAAAGCAAGACCAAACAGAGGCAGAAGCCAAAGTGAGACACAGTTGCAATGGTGGCCTTTGCCAATCACTCAGAAAGCTCTAAAGCTGGGAAGCCCTTCAGGGCTGTTTGTCATTGAAGTAAAGGGGCCAGATATTTGTACCACCCAACAGCAACCAGTCATTGAATGTGAGCTGTCCCTGGAAAGGGAGCAATCATCAGTAGAGGGCAATTCCCAGAAAGGAATGTAGTCTTAGCTGTCAGCAGCCAACACTGCCAATCTCTTAGGAATGAGCGCCTAGTTCTTTAAGGGGGACCTGAGTGGCATTACATGGTTTCACTATCCCCATTCAGCTGGCTAACTGGCACCATCAGCAGAAATGATCAGGATTAATTGTGACCCCAGGGCTAAGTGTCATTACATTCCACCCTCTACTGAGCAAAGTTCTGACCATGTGCCAAGCACTCTCCTACATAAATTATCGCATTTGATCTTAACACCATAAGGTCTTACTTATCTCTCAATGTGCATGTAAAGAAATTGCGGCTTAGAGACATTAAGTAACTTTCCCAAGTTCATACTACCCATTAGGGCACTAATAGAAATATCTTTCTGAATCACAAGTGTTCTGTACCAGTTCATAGCATTCAAAACTACATTTTGTTGTTGATGTTGTATTTTGATCCATGACCATCCCACAGATATCTGGGTGTGAGAGGAGGAAGCAAAATGTATTTACATACAGAAAGAGGAGTGCAAAGCCTAGAGAACTTAGATTTCTGAAAAGTTACTAAACTATACCATACATACAGAAAGAGGAATGCAAAGCCTAGAGAGCTTAGATTTCTGAAAAGTTACAAAATGGTACCAAACCACATACCCAAGCATACACCTTTGAGGCCAATAAGGGAGACAGAGGACTCCTTGCCAGCCACATGAGCTGAATCAACATCATTATCTGGAACTCTCATGAAATAGTGGACCTAGAAATGATGAACCGAGGCAACAGTGCCAACCATGGGATCACCTTAAAAAAAATCAGCATTTATAAGTCTCTTTTCCTCAAACTTCCTTCCTGTATCTCCTCTCCCCCAAAGAAAAATCCAAAAGCTTACAACAAAACTAGATGTGTCCTGAAGATCAGGAACTTGATTTGAATGGTGTTCTAACTGTGTCACACATCAGCTTCAGGTTGCCTTGTTCATGCATCCTTCTGCCTTTGCAGTTATTTCCATTTGTGTCTCCTGACTTCTTCCCTATTTAAATAATAGCTATTATGTAAAGTTCAAGAGCATACCATAGCAGATCTCATCTCAACTACACAAAGGTACTATGTAATTATGGAATGGGCTGAAAGGACTTTGGAGGAAAAGCAAGTTAGCCATCTAATAAGAAAAATTTTAAACAGAAATAATCAAAAGAGACTATTTTCAGAATGTTTTCCAGCTGGTGCACAGGTCCATTTCCCTATGACATCACAATTTCATGGTCCAGCATGAGTTCCTGCATATTACATGTACAATGGCAGTCTCAGTACCTGATGATTGATAATAGCTTGTTCCTGGACATCTCACTTCAAAACAAAGCAGAAATAACTGGATCTTCCTGTCTTATTTCTCTTCTTCCCCACCAAGACAGGTGGGCATTGTAAAAAAAGAGAAATTATGAAACTGGTCAAAATTTTTCAAATCTTGGGAAGCACTTGTGAGCAGTAAAGAAATTATCTCATATTTTCTATATGAGTTAATTTAACCAATGTAGTGAAATATTGATGAGGCTCCCATTTAGAGCCTAAAATATAATAGGCACTCAATACATTATTTGTTAAATTGGTAAATTCCCATCACCTACTTCATTAAGCCTTCCCATTTATTCTTATGGAATTAACCTATTCCTACTCTGTGCTCTGAGAGCACTTTTACACTTTTTATAGCATTTTAACATACTGACTTTTACTGTATTTAGTGAAAGTCTGTGTCTCTTTCTCATACCTTAAGGGCATGAACCAGGCCTCATTCAATCTGTATCCCACATGTTGTCTTGCCCACAGCAGGTCTCAATATCAATGTTTTGCAGATAGATTTGATGATTTGATATTTTAGGACCAATCAGAATGACCTGTGAAATTTATTAATCACAGCGGACAGAAATTGGAAGGTGTTCCAAAACGTTGTTGCTGGGAGACAGTACCAATACCTTATACCTTGACAAGGAAGGTGAATTCAATTCTGTTGAGTGCCCATGGCAATGATGTAGCATACTGCAATGCACTCTGTCTCATTTTGGCATTGCTGCCCTCTCCTGCCATCTGCAAGCAGCATGACACTGTCAGGCTGAAATCCATAGTTGCCATGCTGACAATGTGCTTGGGTTGAAAGGAAAGAAGGCAATTATCATTCAAGCTAAACCCAGGTCCATGACTGGCAGAAAAACTGCTGAGTAGCCAAAGTTCTTAGTCCTGACCTGTGATGCTGGGACTCTGTTATCCAGGCTAATTTAGGAATAGTTGAATGGTCATTTATTTCAAGCCTCTGAATAATCATTCCCATTTCTTCATCCAAGCCTTTGCTCATGAGAAACAGTAAAATGTGATGGTTAGAAGGTGAGCTCTGGAGCCCGGTAGCCTTGATTTGAATACTGGCTCCAATGTTTTTAGGTTGTGTCCCTTAGGGAGGTATTTAACATATCCAGGATTTATTTCCTCTGCAACAAAGTAGGAGTAATAATAGTATTTAGATCACAAAGTTGATGTGAATGTTAAATACATGGATGCCTGGAAAGCATCTGGAATAGTGTAAGATGCAGTCTAATTACCTAATCAATGTCAGCCACACTAAGGACACTGTGTGTGGCATGATGAGGAGTTGGAATTTCCTCTGAGTGCATCTGTAAGCCAATAGAGAAGTTTAAGCAGGAGAATGGTATGACCTGATTTATTTCCTAAATATCACTCGGACTGCTCTGAGGAGTTGTATTGGAGGGAGATGAGTGGCAATAAGGAGAGGCATTAGGAGGCCACCACAGTAGACCTTGAAAGGAGTGATGATGGCTTAGGGCAGGTGATAGCTTACCCTAGACAGAGTGAGCAGGATGAGCTATATTTTGGGATGGAAAAATGAGATGTGCTGATGGACTGCATGTGGGAGGTGAGGGAATGGAAGAAATCCATGATGATTTTACGTTTCTAGCTTTGGTTGTGGAAGCTTAATGATCTCATTTACTGAAATAGAGAAGATTATAGGAGGAACATATTTTGGAAGGGAAATCAAACTTTCCTTGAGGAATTTTAAGCTTCAGATGTCTATGAGATGTCCAAATAGAATTTTGAATAAGCCTGGATTTTAAACCTGGACATCATATGAAATATCTATATGGAGACATAAAATTTCACCAGCATTTAGATCTTTAAAGCCACAGACAGCAGTGATGTCTGCTGTGGCACTGAGATGAACACAACCAGAGAAAAGAGGGCAGAGTCCTAAATGACTCTGAAATTTTCAGATCAGAGAGAGAAGTTTATCAAGTCAAGGTGACTGAGAAGAGCAACCACGGAAATAGGAGGAAAACTGGAGAGTGTGGTGTCACTGAAACAGAAAAGAATGTATCAAGAAGAATAATGTCATCCGATATGTCAAAGACTGCTGGGTGGTCTACTAAAATGAGGACAGAAAACTGTATATTAAATTTGGTGACATGGAGGCCTATGTGAGTGCATTTGGTGGAATATTAGAAAGAAAGGGCTACACTGAAACGAGTTAAAGTCAGTGGTAGTAAAAAAAAGGAGGCTTTGTGGAGAGGTTTGATAGTGAAGTGGAGAACGAAAGACTGGGGAACAAAGAGACAGACTCCACTTTCTTTTTTTTTGTTTGTTTGTTTTTTTGTTTTTTCCCATTTATTTATTTTATTGCATTTTAGGTTTTGGCAGACTCCACTTTCTAAGCTTTCAGCCCCAACCACTTTCACACCTCACCCGCCTCTGGGCAAGGGGAGAAAAAAGCCATGGGCTCCCTCTCGTGGTGCTTGTGGGAAAGTTCAAAGCATTCAAACCTCAGGCAGCAGGCAGGTCCCCATTGCACACCACTCCAGCCTCCATCTAACCAATAAAAGCCAAGCCACCCACGATCCTTTGCCCTTGCTTCACTTCAGACTGAGCAGGAGCCCTTCTATGTGGAGAATCCTTTTGCTGTTTACTGTATAAACAATACACTTTCTTTCATCTCTTATTAATGCCTATGTGTCATTCATACCAACATCTGTATAATGTCCTAGCAGGGACTGCCCAATATCCAGCAGGGGCCACTAAGAACCCAAATGAAACACAGACAGAAGCAGGATTTGGTGTCAAGGGTCAATTGGGCATTGTTATAATGGAGAAGGGAAGACAGAAAACATGTCTTTATGCTGACATGAGCATAAACATGTCTTTATGCTGATTGAAAAACATCCAATAGAGGATGAGAGATTGATGACGCAGTGGACAGAGGGCATAACTGCAGGAGCAAAGTACTTGCATGGTAGAGAGGAGGTGGGATCCAGAAGACAAGGGCAGAGACTGGCCATCCATAGGAAGAGAGACACTCCCTCCACTGTAACAGAAGAGCAGAGAAGAAGCAGCATTTTCAACTCAAATATTCTATCCTTGGGCCATATCGTCTACATGATGTACAAGACAGGGAGTAGCTGAGTCAATGAGAAGTTAGAGAGAACATGCATACAAGTCTGAGAAGTGCAACCTAACCTGCTGGCCAACAGACTGCAAACCCTGGGGCTGCCTATGATACTCCAAAATTGGTGGCATTCCCTTTTGGTCCCTCTGAATTACTCCTGTCATCTATTTCCTATAGAAACATGAGACTGGTCAGAAGATGAAGATTCTACACCTGAATGGTCAATAGCAGCTTTGTAATGGTTTTCCAGATTTCCACGGCAACCTCCCAAACTTCACTTTTATCTTCATCCTAGGAAGGATTTCTTACTAAGAGATTGTGGGAATTTCAGTGATAGCCACAAATAACAATAATTTCCATTTTCATTTCTATTTAATTTTTAAGTTTTTTTCCAACCATTTTATCCATTGTCTAGATACGTAAAGGTAAACTGTTAGTTATTGACTCCTTATGTGTGTTTTCCTTGAGATTCATCAACTGTATATTCAAGCTAGGAAAGCAATTCATAATTCCTTTGGGAACCAGCATGCTGAATAGAAATGAGCGTATTTCCACAGAAATGGACTCATTACTCTGCCAGTATTGCATAGAGCCTTATCAATAATTGTTATAAAACAAAGGGATCTTATAGGAAAAAAAAAACTTTGCACTTATATTATACTTTTGCATGGAAAACAATTTATTCTCTTACATTTAATTTGCTTTGGTGATGTTTGCTATTTTTCTTGTGCTGAAAAGACCAGCAAAGTCTGAAATCTTGAAATGAAAAAAGAAATTTTATATATTAGTATAAAATATATTAACAATATAAAATCAAAGGTCACTATAGTTTGAAAATGTTTTTGATCTTGTTACTCTAAAATGTAATCTAAATAATAATAAAATAAATATTGGACTGAAGAAAAGAAAATAGTGATTTTCATGTCTGCTATGTGGTGGGAGCTAGATTTGATGTGTTATATGTGCATCATCTTCTTTGAAGTGAGTATTATCTGCACAAATGAGAACACTAAATTTCAAAGAGTTTAAATAATTTGTCCAAAGTGAAAAAAAATCTAGAAAATAGCAAAGCCACAATGTAAACACAGGCCTCATTTTTAAATTTGTTTTATTGCTTCTTCCCAAAATAGAGGTTAAAGGAAAGGTGAAAGGTTCCGATTAAACTCAAAAACTCATAACATCAAGTAATTTTAGACATCTGACATTTGATGATTAACAATGACAGAGTTTTCCTCTTTTAAATTACTGGAATTGGATGTGACTAATATTCATGTAGAAGTCATGAATCTTTAACTGTGGTGATTAATCAACATTTCCTTTCTTTAATCTAATTACAGCCTTTATGTTTGCATGGTCAGAAATAGGAGAAAAAATAAAGGAGGGAAGGTGAAGTGTGATAGGAATCCCTTAGTATAACTCTCTATGAATACAGTGTTACCTATACTCTGAGTCAGCACACCAGTGTTGAACAGTACAGAGATTAGAGCCCTGTAGGAAGCAAATTTTAAAAGTCTCTAGAAAGGGCAGTTTGGTGAATTAACACTATGTCTTTAAATTGCAAACAAAATAAAGCACTCTCACGCTATTATTCTAAAAGGAAACATTCACATCTGTGCTTATGCTGATTGAGACACAACAAAATAGTAAGCAGTCATCCTTTCTCCTGTCTATTTTTAACTGACCATACAGCATTGCTTCTTCAGTTGATTTTGAAATTTAGATAAAACATAGAAGTTGTCTTATGTTATACTAAGAAATACGTTAAACATATCAGTGGCTTAACACAGCAAGAGCTGTTCTTCATGTTGCATGTCCATTGCACACTGGCAGTGGGGGCTTATGGAGCAGCCATCAAGCCAGAGCTTTGTGGGTCAGACTGACAAAGTGACACAGCATGAAGAATCAGAGATGAGCTCTTGAGACTTTAATCCAGAACTACTTCGTTTTTTTTCTTATTTGTTTATTTATATTCATAAGATACAAGTGCAATTTTGTTGCATCCATAGATTGCATGACGGTGAAGTCAGGGCTTTTAGTGCATCTGTCACCCAAATAACGTATATTATACCCATTTAGTAATTTCTCATCATCCACTCCCCTCCTACCCTCTCAACCTTCCACATTCTCCACAGTCCATCATTCCATATGCTACGTTCATGAGTACACGTTATTTAGTTCCCACTTATAAATGAGACACATGGTATTTGTCTTTGTGTCTGACTTGTTTCATTTAGGACAATGGCCTCCAGTTCCATTAGTGTTGCTGAAAAAGACATGATTTTATTCTTATTTATAAATAGTCTTCTATTGTGTCATAAATAATAATATACATTTTTCTTTATCCAATCAGTCGCTGATGGACACAAGTTGATTCCCCATCTTTGCTATTGTGAATAGGGCTGCTATAAGCATACAGCTGCTGGTATGTTTTTGCTATAATGATTTCTTTTCCTTTAGATACATACCCATTAGTGGGATTGCTAGATTACATGGTAATTCTGTTTTAATTATTTGAGAAATCGTCATACTATTTTCCATAGAGATTGTACTAATCTACATTCCCACCAACAGTATATAAGGGTTCCCTTTCCTCCACATCCTTATCAACATCTGTTATTTTTTTTTTTTGTCTTTTTAGTAATAGCAATTCTGACTGGTATAAAATGATCTCTCACTGTGGTTTTAATTTGAATTTCTCTGATGATTAATGATGAGCATTTTTTCATATGCTTATTGGCCATTTGTATGTCTTCTTTTGAAAAAAATGTCTATTCATGTCCTTTGCCTACTTTTTAAAAACAACTTTATGAGATACAACTCACATACCACACAATTCACCCATTTAAAGTATACAATTTAATGGCTTTAAAAATATTCAGAATTGTGTACCCATCACCACAGGCAATTTTAGGACATTTTTATTATCCTCCCTTTGAATTCTTAATTGTTCCCCCTAATTACCCCATCCTCCTATCCTTAGGAAACCAATAATCTATTCTTTGTCCCTATAGACCTGCCTGTTCCAAACATTTCATATAAATGCAATCATACAAGGTGGTCCTTCGTGACTTGCTTCTTTCACTTAGCATAATGTTTTCTTTATTTTAAAAATTTTTATGTATTTAGGGGGTATAAGGGCAGGTTTCTTGCATGAAAATTTTATGTAGTGGTAAA